ATCTTGTTGGCTTTCCCTGGAAAATTTTCTTCAATCTGACCATTCTTAGCATCTTCATTGTTCCTTCCTCGATCAGCACCATCATCATCTCTTCCATGGAAAATGCCACTGTCTGGTGTCCTTGCATTCACTCATACACTTTTACAAGTTGTGTGCCATCCAGCAGCCAGAGTGCCCTTTGAACCATAACTGAGATCATGTTATGCGTCTGCTCAAAACCCTTCTTATCTCATTACTGTGAAATCCAGTCTCCTTAGGTCTCCCACAAGGCTCTCCAGAGTTTGGCTGGCTTCCTTTCTGACTTCACCTCTTTCTACTTTTCTTCTCTCTCATTGCTCCCAGCCACACTGGCCTTCCTGCTGTGCCTCAAACATACCCAACCCCCTCCTAGCTCAAAGGCTTGCACTAATGGCTTCCTCTACATAGAGACCCCCATGGCTCCTTCCTTCCCTTCACTCACATCTCTGCATAAACATCCCCGACTCAGTCTATCCTTTCCCCAAACGCTCTTTTATAAAATGACACTCCAACACCCTTTCCCCTTCCCTGCTTTATTTCTTTTTTTCAAAGCATTTCCAGTGTCTTTCAATATGTCTAGATTTATTTATTCATTTGAGTATTCAATGTCTCTCCCATGAGAATGTAACTCCTTGAGGGCAGCAGTTTACACTAGAAAAGCAGCTGCACCTAGGCTGGTGCCAACATAAAGTCAAGGCTCAAAAATATTTTTTAATGAATTAAGAATGAATAGTGAGGGGCTGGCCCCGTGGCCGAGTGGTTAAGTTCGCGCGCTCCGCAGCAGGCGGCCCAGTGTTTCGTTAGTTCGAATCCTGGGCGCGGACATGGCACTGCTCATCAGACCACGCTGAGGCAGCGTCCCACATGCCACAACTAGAAGAACCCACAACGAAGAATACACAACTATGTGCTGGGGGGCTTTGGGGAGAAAAAGGAAAAAATAAAAAATCTTTAAAAAAAAAAAAAAAGAATGAATAGTGAGGGTGGAGATGGTGGGGGTAGTAGGTCCTTCAAAAAGCCTGAATGAATTATTTATGAAGATAAAACTTGAAATAATCTTTCTAAAGAAACTGCTGATAAAAATATCAACTTCCAGAAATTGCCAATTCATATACGGATATGTCTAAAATTTTGTAAGGTTACTACTACAATCATGGGCAGTCTGAGATTCACGTGGAATGCGCCCTAATAGGATTTTTGATATCCCGTCCTCTATAGAGGCAGCTGGAAACACATTCACTACCCAACCTCAAGAGCTCACGTTATTTATCATTGCATTACAGGCTCGGGATTTTCCAAGAATAAACAAATTGCTAACTATATATACAGACATGCTTTTTTTTCCACTGCAGATGATCTAAAATGTTACATTTTTAGGTTATATTTCTCAATTGGTCTTTTGCAACTGTTTTCTCATTGTGTCTCTCCCATCCTTTTCTCTCCTGATTTATCCTCCCACTTTTGTCAGAACAAAGTGCTGCATTGTGCAACACATGTTTAATTTCATCCCCAACCATTTAAAATGATGTATTGAATTAAAGGAAAGGATGTTGGACTCAGATTAATGGAGAAGAGATTAAAATGAGGATATGTGCCTTAAAAAAGAAACCTCTTTTGGACCCCAAAGTCATTCATTAATTTCCTACCATAATTTATTTACCAGCAGGCTTCCCAGTTCTGCCCTTATTTCAGTTCAAGAGTCTAGGTGGCGGGAGCAAGGCAGGGATTACGGCATTTTGAGAGTAACAGGATGTGCTTTAGTTTGATCATGTTGACAAGCCACTTGGGGATGGAAATGGGAAGATGATCAGAGGATACTATTTCCTCCTTTTATTCAGGCCTCCAGGGAACAAATGCAGAAAATCTTTTGGCCTAGACTTTCCTATACTCTGTTATAGGAGCCTAAAACTCCAACCTGTTGACCAGCATTAGGCATTTCTTCTCAAATGCCTTTTCATCAGGTAATTTTAGCTATGAATATTCACAAAGAACCTTCAATATCATTGTCTGTAGAAGGAAATCACGAAAAACAGGCATAAAGAGAAAACACCTGAGTAAGATATAAATGAAAGCACTCGAAGACTCTGTGATAATTTTTGAGTATAGCACACAGAATTCTAAATAAAAAACTACGTAGTTTGTTTGTCACCGCCTATGTGAAATGCAAGTTTAAGGTGTTTGCATATAACATTGGAAAAGGAACAGAGGGCTCAGCAAAGCTGGGTCTGCCATTTCACACCAGGCTAAACGGAAGCGAGCTTGGTTCTAGCCACAGAAAACTTGATGTGGAACTATCAGGGAATCTTCCTCCCAACCCCGCGCCCCCATCCCCCGACCGCCCCCACCACCCCCATGCGCCCTGGGTGAATCCATTCATCCCTTAGTAGCCTTTCTGGTGCTTTCCATGGGCTTCTGGACTGCCCATCAACAGTTATCACTGAGGTTAATAGGACAATACACAGAGGTCATCAGAAAGCAAACTTCGTTCTGCTGCTTCTTGATCCTAAAAGCAGCAGTTGAACCATACTTGGTTCAAAATTGTTATTTAACAAAACATTTTTGTACTTAGTTACTCTGAAGCCAAGTGGGGAGTACATGTTATAAATTATTTCTGCACAAAATTCTGGTTTCAAGTGAGCATATAAAAGTTCTGATTGAGTTTTGACATAAACACAATCACTATTTCTCGTACTTTAGAGAGACTGTATCTTTCTAAAATACACACAACTATATCTGGGAGCCAGGAGCTCTCCTGCTCAACAAAAGAGTGAAGATTTATAAGAATTATTTTTAGGGAATGGGGGTTAACCACAGTCAGTATATTACTTGCTTATTGCCTTCATTTGCAATTTGGGAAGGAAAAATTTCAGGTCACTGGTTATCAATCCTTGTGGTGCCACAGTTCATCACGTGTACACCTATCTCAAGGGATATACACAGATTCTCCAAAATATCTCAAAACAAAATTAATTCCAATTGCTTCAAAAACAAACAATTATAGAGCTCCTAGAGGGTACCAGGGGTTACCTGAGAGCTTTACATATTTTGACTCATACATTTAAGCCTCTAAATATCCCTAGGAGGTAAGTACTCTTCCTATTCTAATTTTACAAAGGAGGAAACTGAGACAGAGATTAGGGAATTTAAGCAACATCACAGAGCTAAATGTAGCAGATCTGGGGTTTGAATCCAGTCAGTCAGAACTCAGAGCACATGCTTTTTGCTTCCAGGAACATTCATTCGTTCAGTGAAGTGTCTATAATGCTCGTGCCCCTGGGCTAGCGCTGGACACAGGAGGACATCTGGCTGATTGTGCTCAGCACCAGATGTCTTCAGGCTGACTCTCCATCGCCATGTGGTTCCTGTCGCAGCTGGCCAGATGGCATGACATGCACAGATCATCATATCTCCTTGATCTCCTTGCTTATTAGCTTTTTAATATAACAGGTTTATTGAGATATAATTCACATACCATACAATTCATCCATTTAAATTGTACAATTTAATGGCTTTTATTAAATTCACAGAGTTGTGTGAGCATCACCATCATCACTTCCAGAACATTTTCATCACCCTACAAAGAAACCCCATATTCATTAGCAGTCACCTCCTACTCCCCCTACCCCCCGCTCCTGAGAAGCACCAGTCAGCTTACTGTGTTTTTGGATTTTCTTATTCTGAACATTTCATATAAACAGAATCGTACAATATGTGGCCTTTGTGCCTGGCTTCTTTCACTTAGTGTAATGTTTCAAGGTTCATCCATGTTGTGCCATGTATTAGTCCCTCTTTTTTTTAAAATTGCCAAATAATACTTAATTGTATGAATTTGCCACCTTTAAAAAATCCACTCATCATTTGAGGGACATGCTTCCACTTTTCAGCTATTATGAATAATGCTATGAACAAATGTGTGCACGTTTTTGTGTGGACGTATGTTTTTATTTCTTGCAGGTATATACCTAGAACAGGAATTGCTGGGTTACATGGTAACCCCACATTTAGCCTTTTGAGGAGCTGCCGGACTATTTTCCCTCGTTGCTTATTGATGTTAAGAAGTTCTTCTCAGCTGACTATTTTTGCAAAACTGACTTTTCTTATTCTATAGAGGCAGTTGACATTGGAAAGCAAGCATACTAGACTTTGTCTTCAACAGTAAAGATTCAACATCTGAGTGGCTATAAATAACCACTTTCCGTAACTGAATCCAAATGGAAAGCTTAGAGTAACTTTGAGTAACTGCCCTATCCCTTCTTAATACTAAGTCTTTTTAGTGAGTGTATGAAACAAATTTAATAAATGGTAGTAACAGTAATAGCTAACGTGTTAAACACTGTAGATGTTCCAGGCAGTCTGTGTAGCACGTTAAATGTATTTAGTTTAATGTGTTAAATGTCATCTACTTTTAGATCCACTAAAATGGTTTAGAATCCTTACATTCTAGAGGGTAAGATTAAAAAAACGTAACAATCATAGACAGCTGTATTTTACCTATACTGATGACTAGGTAGGAAAAAAAAGTTTAGCTTGAAGTAGGAAAAACTAAAACAAAAGACAAACTCCCGTAAGTGGAAAGCTATCCAGAAGAGACTCACTTCAATGGATTAAAGACAGTTTCATTGAGGCATTTCAATGCCAGGAAGCAGGAAATAGAGTGACTTACTGTTATTTCTTCTGGGTCTGCATACTTATGATACCATCTCAAGCTCTGAGTTTTCTACTGGCACATAGAATTTGTTGCCAGATAAAGTGTGATAGAAGCTAGTAAGTATTAACTGAAAAGAGAAATGAGGAACCGTTCTTATACAACCTTTTTGTCGACTTTGTTGAAAGTTTTCCTGTTGCGAAGTGCCCAGCTCTTGCCTAGTACGAAAATTGATTTGAAAAAGTTTGCCCACCATAACCTGCTTCAAAGACCAGTGGGTACACATAGAGTTAAACAAACAAACAAACAAACAGTGAGAAACAAAACTTACACAGTATTTTGTTTGTGATATGTTTAAAGTAAAGATGGATAAATTTATATTCATCATAACAAATGTTAAGGCCACAAAAGCCAGCACTTGTAAAGAATAATTATAGTTTGTAAAGTAACGACATTTCCTATTAAAAGAATTATAATATATGTCAGGGAATCCACAAGTAGGCTTCTTCCTAGAAATAAAAACCTAACTTATCAATTTACTTCAATATATTAGGTAAGAAAAAAACAATGAGTGTCTAACAGAAGAATGCATTGTGTCGATTCTGATTTTGTGTAAAGTTGATCATATAGGAATTTCCCGTTTGGATTAAAATTCTGAATCCACAACTGTGAAAAAATTTAGAAGCATAATTATTTTCAGTGAACTCTAAATTGTCCTTAAACTTGAAGGCCATGGGAAGAATCCCTATCCTGCATTCTGCCTGAGTCCTTAAGATCCAATTACCAGCTGCTTGCAGACATCTTCATTCCTTAGGAAAGACTAGACTTCTCTGTTTAGCAACCAATCCAGGAACTAGATTTCAGCACGCTAACCACATCTTCCTTCTCTGTATCATACTTGTATGCTTTTGGTCCTGAAAAGAAGTAAATGTAGCCTAAAAGAGACAAAGTTGAAACTGTGGTTACTGAAAATGACTTGCAAGTATATAAATGGGAGGATTGTGATTTTAACTTTCTTGAGCTGGTGTCAAAGGGGAATTTGGAATTTGTCAGGTGGCAGTTAGCTAGTCCTCTATTACCTCTGGTGACAGCTCTCACCAAGCCCTCGAATCTGATATCTCTGACTTCTCAATCATCTCTCATTTTTCTGTCCTAACCAGGGTACGGCATCCTCCTTGGGGTCATCCAACAGCTCACGCTCAATTATGTTTCATGCTTCTGCCCAGGCTGTCCCCTCCTGGAAATCACCTTCCCATTTCTTTCCCTAGTCAAACCTCTAGCCATTCTTCAAAACCATGAAATTTCCAACTACTGATTCTAGTTCTGATCTTTTTTTTTCTCAGATCACTTCTTGCAATTATTATGAAGACTAACACAGAATTCAATATAAATTACAGATTGTCTTGCTTGTTACTAATTTCATCTGTGTTACATGGAGGGGTATTTCCCAAAGATATTAACCATTCCAAGAGCAGAGACCACATCTGGAACTATCTTTGCATTTCTGAACAGTGTCCAGCTCTATACGATATATTCAGGAAAACTGTGTTGACTGATTCAAAAGATTCAATTAAATTTATTCAACCCAGTTCATTTCCATTCGACTTTCCCAGCTATGTGTTAATTTTCAGGTGTTGGGTGATGGAGTGGGGAAAGGCACTGAGAAGATTGAGAGTATGTGCATTTTAAAGATGACACGGGTAATTTTGCCCTGGGTGGACTTTATGATGTGATTGACTAATGAACTGACGCTACATTTTTAAACCTTTTCATTTGCAAAGAGAGAACAACCATGGCAGACTTTTTATACTTATTCTTTCTAGTGGTTAATCTGGTTCGCTAAATTTATAAGGGACTCAGGACCCAAAATAAGAATCAAGGACTCCCATGTGGAAAACCATTTTCTGTTATGTTAAAGCACAGTCCAGATTTCTTGTTATAATTGCCGCGAAGAAAGTTTTTGGTGGAAACACTCACCGTTCAATTCCACAGCAGCATCTATTTGGCCATTAACTCCTGAAAATTCCTCTTCAGTACTCTTTGGATAGTCTTTTTCCATTTTCCTTTTTCGTTCATCATAGCTGGAAGTATCATTTCATAAACAATATTAATAAGAGGTTTTTATTGATTGTAGATGGCGCTGTGCTGCTCAATCATATTTAGCTAGGGCTGACTTATGACCTATTTTAAATTTCTCTCTCTGTCTCTGTCCCTCTCTCTTTCTGTCACACACACACACACACACACACACACACACATTCTATCACTGCTGTCCCAGGGTCCTGAGGTTCTGGGACTACTAGTTTGGAAGTCATTTGCTCTAAACAATCTCTTTAAAAAACTGCTAGATATATTGCTTAGAATTAGCTATTCTCTATATTATAGCAACATGTTCCTATAATTAAAAAAATATGTATTATCTTTCAAAAGGAACTCTACATATATTTTTTTGTGCTGTATTTACTGTTGTAATTATTCTCTCTCTCTTTCCATGTGTAAATTTCTCGGCTCACCAGTTGCAAGCCCTTCACTGGGGCTTTTATTCATGGGTTTCTTGCCACGTACCCATGGAGGACGGATTGAACAAATAATGCACAACAGATGAATAAACAAATATGTGAATGGTCAATAGATAGATTTAAGAAGTGAGAAAATGTGGAATATGAGCCTCTGCCTTTTAAATCAGTTAAAGTAAATTAAATCGCTTTTGTTTCCTGGAAAGATTATACAACTGACTGAATAGTAGTTTAGGTATTTTTTTCTGGATCAGCAACCACCATGCAATGATAATTCTGAAGATTGATTAATGCATCTCTTTGTCATCTAAATTACCCCTTGTAAAAAAGCCTGTGACTTATATGAATCAGCATGACTTGTATGAGTTCAGCAAGTAGGCAAAGCAGACTCTCCCCTCTTCAAGAAAAATTCATTTGAAGTGTGAGAAAGTCCCTTCTTTATCAGCAGAGCTCCCAGTGGGTACATTCCCAAGGTGGACACCCGATCCTTTCCCACCAAAAGGTCAGACAATGTCTGCTGGTGCCTCGGCCACTGGGCAGTTTCCTATGGCGACAGATCACACGGACCCTCTCCTGCCTCTCATGTGGCTATGACTACACAGGTCAGGGGGCAGATCTCTCATGATATTGAGCAGGAGTCAAACACTGGGAAAGAAGTTAGGCTGAAACTGACTAGAGGGTGAGCTGCTTTATGGAGTGTTGAGGATAGAAGGGAAGCTAACTCCCCCAAACTCCCTTTCCAGGAGAACCATTAGAACCTTCCAGTAAGCCAAGGGGAAAACTGAACTAGATGAGTTACTGGAGCACAGATGAAAATGGAAATCACTTATTGTGTTTCATCTTCATCAGAAGTGCCAATACAGAGTGTGGGGACAGGGCACCCGTACAGTATTAGCAGGGGTGATTGGAAGGTGTCAAGAGTGGAGTTAGGAAAAACTGGAGAAAAAGAGAAACAGTCCAGGCACATTGACTCCACCATGGCCTAGATTCTTTTATTCACTTTGTTGCAGAGGCTGAAATCTGGAGTCCTTTATTAAAAATGGAAGTGCAGCTTGCTTACATGTTAATCTTTGTTCATTAAGCTGTTTTTCTTCTCTTACTTCCCTGAGACAGTTGTATTAAGAAAATGAAAGCCTTGATTGCAGGGAGTGAGGAAGATAATTCTAAAGCTTAAAACATTTGGGGAGCAGGATGCCAAAGAAAAGACAAAGTGACTAAGATGCCTTTGGTGAGTGTAGATATAGAGGGAGATGCAGGGGGAGGACAGCAGAGAATCTGACCTCTTTTGAATTCTTTGCCTAATGTTGACCCTATGCTTAGGGAAAATGGTGGAATGCCTTTCATGTCTTTATCCTCTTTTGTCTGCTCTGAATAGAAGATAGGAAGCTGAGCTATTAAAATTAGAGCTATGCCTTACCTTTGTGTATGTTAAACACACATTTACGAATGAGTGTGAAAACTTAATCATCATTCATACTGTTTTAGGGCAAAATGTGTTTTCAGTTTCAAACAAATGGCTTGACTGAAGAATCTTCATAGGTAAACCTATTACAAGTTGGGATCTGCTTCTATTATATATAAATTGGATGGGGAAGTCTGGAAAGTATGAAAAGACAGAGCAAAGATCTTCTTTCTTGAGAATAGAGACAGTTTAAGTAATACAGTAATAACTTTTAAAGAGAAAATATTAATTCAACAGAAAGATGTGAAAAAGAAATTTTTCTCTTTTTATCTGTCCACTTAGTTCACTAAGGTGGGTGGTGGTGACATCTAAAATCTTATATATACCTATTCAGAAGATAACAGAGGTGATAATACTATATGTAAATAAAATTTTAGAAGAAATTTTAGAGAAGCAGTATCCAGCTCAGAATTTTAATTCTCAGTCATATTTATAAAAACCTAGGCAAAATCCTTGGCAGAACTGTAAAAACACTGTTTCTTTCCTCCACCCCTTCCACCACTTGTATACAGTGCACTTATATATGTGCACCATAGAACGACGTCAACAATGGACCGCATATACAACGCTGGTCCCATAAGATTAGCACCATATAGCCTAGGTGGGTAGTAGGCTATACCATGTAGGTTTCTGTAAATACACTCTATGATGTTCGCACAATGATGAAATCACCAAACGATGCATTTCTCAGAATGTACCCCCATCGTTTAGCATCGTAGGACTGTATTTAATAGTGCCTCTCCCTCTCTGCCCTCCCAACCTTTATCCTACGACTGTTTTCCAAAGAACATTACTCTTAACAAACTCTACTTCAAAATATTTCAAAATATCAGTCTGACACACAAATCAACATTTTGGAGTAGCGGATAGCATGTTAATATTTCATTTGGATCTTTTATGTAGGCATGATGCAGACAGGACCTAAAAAACTAATATAGGGTTACCTACTTCTCATTTTACCAAGTAAGAACGTTACCATCAAACCCTCAAAAAATTACCACCTATTTTCATCGTCATTTCACAAAGAAAAGAAACTTTTACACCAAAAACACAGAAAGAACATAATCTCAGAATAAAAAATAGTTCTTGCCAATAACGTCTTTATACTGACACAGACCACACCTCCTACATTTATAATATTGTGCTGTTGTTCTCATTTTGCTGTGGACTAGTGTGGACTAGTGAAAAACTTTGTGATGATCTAGCCCTTGGATTGTGGACAGATATTTGAGGATTTCTGTTATTGAGCAAAGAGCATAACATGAACAGTCACATGGCTCTGAGCTTGAATTTTCACTGTTATCTGCTGGCTCTGTGATCAGGGGAAAGTGCTCTGAGCTCTGAGCCCTGGTTTCCTTATCTGGAAAACAGTGGTCAAGAGGATGAGAGACAATTTACAGACACACACACTGCTGCCTGGCACATGTAGGCACCCAGGCAAGCCCAATCCATAAGACTTTGTAGTTTATTTTGGCTCCAAGAAGCATTTACTCTGACTGGCTCGTACGAGATTGAGTGAACTTTGTGATTTGATCTGAGATCCCAAGACATCAAGGAGTTTAATTTTTACCTAATCTTTACACACATTTCAGGATAACATTCTGCAGTAATAGGCAAGCTTAAGAAGAGGTGGAGACGGGGGGCTAGAGAATGTTGGAGATTAAAAAGAGGTGGACCAGAGAACCAAATCACAGAAACGATTAACATTAAGAAGGTCTACCGGTATGTTGAGGATTTTACCAAGGGTAAAAGAAAAGGAAATTATATGACAAGATGAGAATCATGGGGATGGGTATTTTAATTGATAGTAAATAAATATGTAAATGGTGAAGAGAATGAAGAACGATTATATGTGGTGGATGGGAAGAACTTCTGGATTTGGAGTCAGAGGACATGAAATACACCCTCAGATGGATCATTTTTTAGCTGTGTGACCTTGACCTAATCACTTAATCTCTGCGATTTGACGTGTTTAACTGTGAAATGGAGATAGCAATACCTACTTCTCAAGATTGTTGAGAAGGCAGACGGGAAAATGAGAGAATATGAGAAAAGTACTCGGCATGATTCCTAACACATAGTAAACCATTAATAAATTTTAGCTAAATTTGAATATTAAGGAAAGAGAGAAATTTTTACTGTGAATAAACTATATACTAGTACCTGTTAAAATCATTGCATACATTTTCTCATCACAGAGGTCTTATTTGTGAAACATAAATACCAACTAAAAGTGATTGGCTTGTAATTTTGTTTGTTTTCTTTATGGGCATTTGTTTCATAGTTTATTGTTGATTAACGGGTATAGATATTAAGTAAATCATGGCTGACAGTTAACCTTTACTAGTGGTGTCACAGTGCTATAGATATCTGACGTGCTTTTGCAGATATATTATCTTACTCTTCACCTTTGTAATCTAAGGTCTTGGGGACTATTTTGGTAAAGTGCCTGCATTTTGTTTAATTTTACACTCAGAACTTAGATTTGTTAGGGATTTCTGGTGTTTTGATTGTGATGATTTCCATCATATGTCAACGGCACAAATGATTCCATTCTGCCTCCTTTGAAGTACTGAACGGGGAGCTGAGTCTGCTAAAAGAGGCTTAAACAGAATGTGAAAAAGGATGGCAAAAAGGGGAATTTATTCGTAAGATACCTAAGATATAAGTTTTCAGGAAGTTTCTTCAATGAGGCCTTTCTAGGGAAATGGATATCTGGAACCCCCTTTGAAGCTGATAATCCACTTCTAGCCAGGCATCACATGGCTTTCATGGAGGAAGGGGTTTTTGTGATCTACACTAGAAAAGGGCAGAGGGGAGAGTGGTCAGGATTGAAGAGAAGTGAGAAGAATGAGAAGATGTGGCGTACTATCCCAGATAAGAATCAGGAACTGGGAGCCCATGAGGAAAATAATTGTGAGAAGACTCTGGAACAAGGAATTTGTAACAAAGTGGAAAAATATCAATGGCCTCAATTACCACCTGATTATATGATAAAATCTAAATTTATCTCTCTAGGCTGAGTTCTCTGAGTTTAAGACCTGTATATCCAACTCTTTTCTGGACATTCCCATTCTTGGGTCCCACCAGCACGTCAAACTCC